AAGAGGTGTGTGAACACGACCATAGTATACACACGACCATAGTAGTAGTAGGAGACTATTGTTGATGGGAAGTCAAGAGGTGTGTGGACACGAGCATAGTAGTAGTAGTAGTAGTAAGAGACTATTGTTGATGGGAAGTTAAGAGGTGTGTGGACACGACCATAGTAGTAGTAGTAGTAGTAAGGGACTGTTGTTGATGGGAAGTCAAGAGGTGTGTGGACACAAGCTTAGTATACACACGAGCATAGTAGTAGTAGTAGTTGGAGACTATTGTTGATGGGAAGTCAAGAGGTGTGTGTGTACAGGAGCAGCGTAGTAGGAGGCAATTGCTTGAAGCAGGTAGACAGACATGTTCATAACCAATCGCCTGTCTCCCACACTCGTACTTGCACTGGGAGTTCCTCGTCAATTGGACATTACCAATCTAACCCTATCAGATCTAATATATTACCCTAACGCAAGCTTCATGATGGTATCTGGGTCCGAAATACCACCTGTCCGTCCATTCATAAACTGATACCACACATACTATTCTCCGCTGGCTGTGACATGGTTCCGAATCTTTATGCAGGCACCCACCGACCCTAGACTGACTGTGGATGTGGCCGATACCTACTATGTACTCAACCCCGAAGGGGACCTCCAGAACACCGAGAAGACCTTTGCCAACGACTTCCAGAGGTGAGTGCTCGGTAATAGATGTGCGTTTGTAGTAATGATATAAGCACTCAGAGGTAATTTTATATTTAATAAATTTCTTTTGTTTGTTTATTTATTGATTGGTGGCCTGTAGTAGCTGCATGAGGCTGGTTCTCGTAATACACACCCACGTAGGGGACAAACGCTCGCAGTGCGTCTAAGACATGGGCCGACCCAAGCACGGTTGAACATAATATATCTCCACACACCAGTAGTAATACCTGAGCCATGTATGCATACCTCCAGTTCAGTGTAGAGTGCCATGCGTTATTTATGTGGCCGATACGTTTACGTATATATTTGTGAACGCAGTAGAATATATACATATGCATATATACACCAAATCAATCTGAACGGGTGTGTGTGTGAGGTCGAGGACGAATACTTCCACTAAATCAATGGGTTCACAATTGCGGCTGTCGTATATGGTCCATATTGCAGACTTAATTGATCGGTCGTAAATTATTTGTCTTGTCTTTTATTGCAGCTGTCGCAAATGGACAGGCATTACTGGTATACTGCCTACGGCCCAGGCAATACAGGACGCTCTAGAAACCAGGAATCTTTACGTGTATGTATGTGTGTAATTATGTATACGTATGTATACATAAATAAATATCTGTGTGTCTGTGTGTCTGTGTCTGTGTGTGTGTGTGTAAGTGTATG